CGGAACTGTTGTAGATGGCGCAAAAATCATTACCCCGTTTTGACCGCCAAGTTTCCCTACCCTGGAGGCATATGAGCAAACTGCACATGTATTCGGTACCGGGCTTCCCTGATTGGCTAGCGGGCGCGGAACGCGAAACCGCGCGAAATTAGTTTATGTTATCTTACTACGGAATTGTTGTACGTTCATTTTAAGCGCTATTTGCCAAATTGTACATTGCACTTATACTTTCTATTCATTGTGTTACTGCTATTTATGCATAAGGCCTACATGTTTTACTCCGTTTTCTGTTACTCGTATTTTGTTATTCAGTTTTATTTTTTATTTTTTTTATTTAAAGGTATATAATTGTCACATTGACGAATGAAGGATACAATCCTGTTTATGAATAAATATTTGTAGTGAGCCACCAAAAATGTTCAGTTTTAGGGGAAGGAAAATGTGAAAGAAATAAAAGTAGCTAAAAGATTCATGGAAACTGAAAGTTTTCTCGGCATTATTTCATATTTTGAGAAGAATTAAATTAAAATTAACTTAGGTTGCAAATTGAATATTTTATTCAAATATCTAGTGAGCTTCACGTTTTATAAACATTTGTATATTGTTATAGAATATTATAAAATTTTTGAAGGTAATTTAATTTATTCCAGGGTGATAAATAGGGTGTATTATAAAAGGTAGTTGGTTTTCATATTTCTCAATAGTTTTGCCGACAACTCATTTTTAAAGTTTTTTGATACCATCTTAATAAATTTGAACACATTTATTGAGGGCATTTTTATAATGTTTTTTGTGTCTGAAATCTTTCAAATCTGCAGATATATCACATAAGAAATGCAACTATAAACGATTGCAATGATACTGCTAATGTAAACATTAACGGCGTGAATGAAATCTAAAAAATACCTTTGAGATTTTTTTTAAAAATAAACGTCACTTTTGCATTTAGGTCATTAGTCAGACCATTGATCACTTGCATTTGAAACAAATTAAAGAAAGTAATTTGAACCCTTTTAGAATAAACGATGTTTAAACAAATGCTAAAACTTCAGCTTATTTTTTTAAAAAGCTTTTGAGTTTTCGAAAAACGTTTTTAGACTTTATTTGTAGAACATGTACTAAACAATGCAAGTATGTATACAAATCGCTGGTAATGTAAATATTAACGACAGGAGAGATATGTCAAAAAATTACACTTGTGAAAATTTTGGAAAAAACAAATGCAAAAAGCAAAATAGTGTTTATGTCATCTTAAAGTACATTTAGCACTATCTCTACTAAAGGTTTAAAGAATAAGTATGTAACTACTTTTCAGAAATCTTTTAATAAAATGTTTAATTATTATGCATATTTCACTCAAAATTACGCAAAACAACTGCAATTCTCGAAACAATGTACCTGACATTACAGAAGGAACTAAATGTGAAGAAGAAATTGTATTTGAAGAAAAAATTGCTACCTTTAATACTGTAGTTGTAGGAAGATCCCGAATAACTCAAACTTTTGTAATGCCCGAAAATCCATTGTTAACAGTGAAAATCGGATCTAGGGCATCTTCGTAAATGTATTTCACTCTATTCTATCAAGAAATTTAAATAATTAAATTGGTGCCATTTTTGACATAATTTTTAAAGGGTCTCTGAGAATTCATGTGAAGTATCCCCAAAATTTAAAGAATGAATTTCAAATGTCAGAGCTTCGAGTGAAGCCAAATCGGCCGGGGAATATTCATTTCGGAAAAAAACCTGCGTATAATTTAGGTTGTTCACACACGGACTAGTGTTGTTCACACACGGACATACAGACAGATGGACGGAAATTTTGGAAAAACAACTTTTCCGGTGTCAGTGTACTCCAAAACGTGTAAATTCGTTGACACCTCGAAATCGATTGTCCGCAGCATTACGTAACTTTCTCTATTCTCCGTATATTACCCCTCACGGAAACGTCACCGCTCCTGAACCCAAAAAGTAGCGCCAACTACCGGATGTAATTAGAGTTTTCCAAACTGTTTCTTTAGCCCAGTTCGGGCCACTCTGTGTCTATGGCGTCACGAGTAAATTGTACGTTTCGGAAAGCGCGGGGACCGCATGGGGCCGTGTCGAGACGTATCAATCGCCCCGTCAAGCAAACTTAACCGCCGTGATGGCCATAAATCCGCTGATGGGACCAAGGCGCAAGTTGCCAACGGTGGAAACACAGTTGACATCTGTCAGACACGGGCGTCCCAACTTGATGGTAAAGCGAATGCTCTGCTGGCGTCTCCAGCACCCCTGATACTGCCAGTTCCCCGACGCGAAGGCGGCTTTGCCTATCCGAACATGACCGCGGGCGAGGCCGCCGATGAACGACTGGCAGCAGGGCGGATGGAGCCCGTCGTCGCAGCTACCTCTAGCCCGCCGATGCTGGCCTGCGAGTCGGCGAAATCGCCGCCGTCCCTACGACGGGGATGCCCCCACCCTATGGCCGGGACGGGAGTCGACGGGTCGTTGCGCCCAGCTAGTGAAGGCACTCCGGAATGCCTGCCAAATGCGCGGGAGGCCGTCGCCCTCGTGCCACCAACTGCTACTGCGGATGGCCACCTGGCCAACATTCATAGCAAAAACACCCACTTACCTCCAATCCAAACTCAGTGGACGTGGTGACCTCACCCCCAACTACCCGTGCAATAATTCCCCTCACACAGCCCGTCGGGGGACAAAGATGGCATCATCGTTTTCCTCCCTCCCCCGAGAGATGTGTTCTGTCCTTTCTACCTCGCGGGCAGAATACACCCGGACCCGATCAAGCGGGCTAATGACATCCCCGGAATCGACACCCGCTTGTTGGCCCGCGCGTGTACTGTACTGGTTGTGGCACCTGGCACCTTGAATTTGGCACACGTTCCGTCCATGCGCTCCAAAAGGTTTCATAGCCAGAGCAGACTAATCCGACATGTCAGTGGCGCAACTGTATCGGATACGCCCATTTTCATTAAGCATGAGCCTCCTCCGCCGGTTGTACTAGCTTTGTGACCAAATAGTCCGCGACGGAATCCTGGCATATTCGCAGAAAAACGTTAGTGGGCCATGTCAGGTGAGTGCACGATGTAGCGGATCTTGTACGATATTGCTACTTCTGTACTGGTGATACCCCCGCCCCATCTTGCGTCTGAAAATTTGTAAAGGCGAGCCATTCGCCATCAGAAAATTTGTAAAGGCGAACTCGGCGAAATCAACCCACCCGATCAAAAGTAGTATCTGTATCATGTGCACACCGAGAGTATACAAATACCTTTGCCCACCTTTGCGCACTATCGGTGTCCTGCTCGGCGTGACTTGCGAGCAATTCAAAATTTGAACAGAATTGTGTCCAAGGCTGCACAAATGTATAACAAGAGATTTCATGACGCAGTTGCTTCGCTTAACAGGCGATGAATCCACAGGAATCCAGTGCGGATAAAGGAATGGACCTTGCGGGACCTGGCGGCTAATCCCTTCTTCATCTCACCTCCCTTGACCTCTCGGCCCCCCCCTCGCCCCCACCCATCCCACTCCAGTGAATCACCTAACCCACCAACCCCAACACCCCCATTCCAAGACCTTCCTCCGCGTCAACTGCCCAAATGAAACAGGAAACTATGGCAAACAGGTTTCCGTCCTCCTCTCCCGGCCGAGTAGCGGTGACCCACTCCGCAAGCTGTCCTTACTCGATTAAACTAATGATCAGAATTGTGCGGAAGATAGGCATGCCCTACACACACCGAATGAGCGGGGACAAACAAAACCGCCGTCACGCCGCAAAAGCCATCAGTTGGGCTCAAATGGGACGAAATATTCCTCCCAGCCATTCCCGGTCCTGCCACGCCACCTACGGGGACGGCTGCTGCGCGTGCAGAGGTGGCTGCGGGACGGCGCGTGCAGAGGTGGACGACCCGACCTTCCAGTCGGGAGCATCCCTGCCCAACAAAGCGACACCCCAGCCCCGACTGCACGTAAATTAGCCATTGCGAAGCGGCGGCACAGCTGCAAAGGACGTGTGCAGCCAAGCCTGCTGCATGGTGGAAGCGGGGCTGGCCCCCGTGCGCGCAGGCGCCCGCGGAATCCATGGTGTCCATGACGCTTGATGGCATCGTGGATGACGGATTGCGGAGCTACTAGCAGACGCAGTGGCTGCCCAGCCGGGCAATGCCTGGACGACCCCAGGTGCCCAAAATCTGAAGTTATTACCCTCGCAACTTGAAGAGTCGGTGTGTCACCGTTCTAATCTAGCGCAACAACACCCTCTCCCTTTGATGCTCCTGCTGAGCGTGTAGCGGCGGCTGCGACGCAGTAGGCTCCGCGCACCCGTTATGAAGGCGGGTCTGGAGGCCCGCCATCCCTGGAAGGAGATCCCTCTGGCCAGATCGACACCACCGGCGCGCAATGCGGAGCGGCAGGAGGCGGGGCCTCGGCCGTGGAGAGGGGCGCGGAATGGGAGGTACAGTCAACCCCCTAGTAATGCGAACCTTGGTGTCAACCTCGTCCCAGGTCCTTTGGCTGAGAGCGACCCAACCCCCACTCGCCACTCGTGCAAACCCACGCCGGCGCCTTGGGGCATACAGTGCTCCGCGGAACTGACGTCTACGGAGTCGGCGCTGACAGAACTCCTGAACCCGCGGGACATGGCGCAGCGCGCCACT